TATTATTTTCAGATCCAATGAACTTGCCGAGTTTTATGAAGAAATGCGAAACAATTGGGATTCACTTTTTAGTTTCCTCAGTTTGAATAATCAGCCGTTTTTAGAACTCTGTTGCAGGTCTTTCTCAACTTTCCTGCGTAAGGACTTTTTAGATACTTAGGTTTTAAAATTGTAATCTCCTAGGATAATACAGTTTAAGCAACTTTTGGCCTTATTTTTTGTTCACTTCCTTTTTTCAGCGTGTTTTAAAGACCAAGTGAGCATTCAATTTGATATGATGAGCAACAGTCTGCGAACTTTAAGCGAACGAGTATTACTTCAGTATCCGTCGGATTTATGTCTCGTTTCTTCTGCTTTGTTCACTGTCACATTAGAAACTGCTAAAAAGGTGCTTCTTGTTCCAATCAATTGTACTTCCTTTTTGAGTTTTTTGTAATTGTTGGTTTTTAAAGACTTTATTGGACTTAAGAAACTGGGCCAAAAGTCGGAAAACACCGCAGCTTATGCTGAATCTGATTCGCGTATCTCGGTTTATTTGCATTCTTTATGGGGACCGCTCAGCTATTGAGCAAATGACAGTTCGTTTCTTTTTCTTCTTTAAATTATGCCACACTTATGGGTTTTATAAGGAATTATTTGATACACCATTGTTTGCTCTATATTTCCAGCAATATTATATAATCTGTATTTGGACGAGACGTATGGGAAAACTGAAGGCGTCAATGCCAAATGACTTAGCAATCAAATCTGTTGTGCAGGAATTTGTAAAGGCTCAGGTTCCAGTTAATGAACTTCTTGAGTATGGTTTTACTTGCAGTTTCTGAACAGTTTGTTCTTGTTCAAGTTACGCGAATTATTCTTTGCTAAATTTCACATGTACTTCGACTAATTTTTGAAAATTTGGTGGTTGGTGAAGCTTTTTTGAACTTACGGAGGAGAATGGTTTGCTTCATTATTGCTATCCAAAAGTACTTTTTATCTTTTTGGAATTAAGATTTTTAGATGTTTTCTAAACCTAATCTGCTATACAACTTACTCCACTCTTCTGAAGGTTAAGTTATTTTTAGATGTTTAAACTAACTTGGCTGTTTTTTAGTTGCAGCAGTCTATAGTAGCGAGCCGACTTGTAAATGTAGTTGAAATGGAAGTCCTGCAAATTTTTAGCTTTGTGGAGTGAGCGCTCGAAAAAACTCTGTACAACTGAAGCTTTTTTGTTTTTGAGCCTATTTTTGCGGAAAAGGCCTTAACTCTTCTTTTTCTTTGCTTTGCTAGAAAATGTTTTTTTTTGTGATATTGCAAAAGAAAGAAATTAAGAGGTATCAAAATCAAGTGGATGTCAAAGAATATCATAAGTAGGAATAGAAAAGGTAACAGTCAGAAATTGGAGGTCGGAGATGATCAGATGAGGGAAAAACAGAATGCAGTCAAGTGAAATTTTGGAAGGAATTGGCAGTTTTACTGTTTTAAGATCTGGAAATGTACATAAACCAGGGTTTGATATCCGTCGTATTATATTTCAACGGTCGTCCAGAAAGATAAAAGTCTTCTAGTTATGACTCACAATTTTTTATCTATTTTTGTTTACAGTTTTTGCTCTGATTTTGGTCTTGATAAGTGCGAAGCGGTGCTACAGTACGCACTCAGGACGGCCGAATTATGCTCTATACAAAAAGATGATAATATTGCAGAGGAGATGTTCAGACTTGCGTCAAATGCATTCCAGGTTAACTTCTGAAACTTCCATAATTTCTTTGCTAGTATTCCGGAGTATACCCATTTACGACATATCGTTAGACAATAGTCATCTGCTTTTTATGAGTAAAAATTAAGCTTTCAATTATTTCACATTTTAAATTTCAGATATTAACAGTGACAGAGGATATTTTTCTGCGTCTCTATGATAGCCTGATGTTGCTGTGCTCGTATAATTACCGGGTAACTGGACAGCTTCTTGTCATTGTGTTAATTCTGGTTTATGAAATAGTCTTTTGTTTACTATATTTTTTTCTTTAATCATACAGTACGGATTTATTTAGGTTATTCAACTCTATATTACGGAGATGAAAAAGCGAGTTAAAGAAGACGAAGAATGTCAAATTATGCTGATCCAACGTCTTTGTACTCTGTATAGCTTTTTGACAGTAACACAACGGGTCAATGCTCCAACCGAAAGTGAATTACGATGGTACCAGGAGAGACAGAAGTGCATAGAGCAAAAAGTTGTTCACTTTTTTTTTGTTATGGTGTTCCCAAAGTGACTCTGTTTACCTTTCGACGATTATTTATGTAACATGCATCTCTTTCTGTTCTTACGGCTTGAAAGTTGCATTCTTACTTTGCGAATTATTTTTATAAACTTTAGGAGCTGCTTGCTGCCAGTACTTTCTTCACTACTGTGGAATCTGCTTCGACCACTCTGAACTGCACAGGTGTCGTAGGGACGGGAGATAGTGAACCTTTTGCTGAAGGTTTATATGAGAAACCAAGTATTGTGCTATCTTCTTTGCCACCTCTTTCTCGGTCGCGATTGCCTTTCCACGTCTTTTTGTTTGAGGATGAGAAGGACATAAAAAATATACTGCTTCCTATCATTAATGCAGAGCTAACTCTCTTCACTGTTAACGTTAGTTTTTGCAGCAGAACTCCTCTCCTTTCTTTATTCTTACTTCATAGCTGATTTGGACCAATTTTTCTATTTTTTTAGATAGGGAAACACTTGCGGATGTGTTTAGATTTGACAATCTTGAATGCTTTCTCTTTTCTGCTTAGGGATAATTAGGGCTTGGCTAATATATTTTTAACAAATTTGTCGTTTGCTTCTTTTAGTCTTGGCAACGGCTTGCGCGTTCCTTGCCTCATTTATCTCTATCAAGGTCTCGTTTGCTCTCTGGCACAGTTATGGTTGTTATTAAGAGGCACATCCAAAACGGAACTACTATTACGGATGACGAAATCAGTTCAATTCAGACTCTTTTGTACAATACATCTAATCAGATGGCAATTGTTGCTGACCTTTCTCAAGGTTTCAAAAGTATTCCTCTATGTAAGTAATAACCTTTACAGATAAGTCGGTTTTTGTGTTTGTTTAGAAGCGAAAAATTATTAAAGTTTAGGTGAAACGAAAATACGGTTGCTAGAAATTGGCATAAACATATCGGAGATGTGGTTGCAGTCGTCTGAACTCCAACATGTTAGTTTTCCAGTTTACTGCTTTTAACTCGCTATTTTTTATTCACTGTTTACTTTAAACGTTTTAATTACTCTTCAGCCCTTGAGTGATGATGCGCGCAGCTACGTAGAGTGTTGGTTGAAAAAGCTAATTCCTTCCCTGAAATTATTCAAAACAGAATATCTACTGCAGAAAGCTAGTCTTTTAAAAAGGGAAACGGTCGATATGGTTAAATCTGCTGAACAACTTGTTGTCTATATATATTCGAATGAAATTAATTGGTCTGATAGTAGAGATAAGGGTTCGTAATAATCTTTTATATTTTTTTAATCTTTGGTTATTTCATAGATGCTTCCAATTTTTATATTTGTTTCGTGGAATTACCGCATTGATCATCTTTCCTGTTGCTATTTTAAAAACTTTCGTCTTCTTTAGTGTAAACTTTATTTTTAGAGGAAAAATTGGATTTGATCAATAAGATTGCTGAAATTCATAGCCTAGATTTAGTCACTATTCAAGCGAAGGTTCTTGAGGCATGGCTGCCTGGTAGTAGTTCGGAAAAGCTGAACTTTGATTTAAACGACGTAAGTCTACAGCAGATTTTACTGAACACGCTTGTTTTTTCACCTTTTATGGTTTCTTGTCTAATTTTTCAGACCGATGGCGAGGTTGCTATGAAAGAAGTTGATGAGAACGAAGGAGTGCTCAGGCTTCCATACCTAGACATTTCTTTAACGAGGTACTAGTTATGAGTTACCGCCTGCTCAGTTTGTAGACTAATAGCAGATTTGTTAATAGACAGTGTTCTAGAGTTCATCATTTGCTCAGCCTTAGAGATCGGCGGAAAGCAGCTCTTACTTTAGTCGCTGAG